CCGCCACAACGCCTGGCCATTTTTTGGTTGCAGCCATCCTTGTTGTTTGGCGGGCCCGGGCTGGGGATTCGAACCTACCACCTTAGGTGTATGTGGCTGGCGCCTTAGCCGCTTGAGCCACAGGCGCCGAGCCTCTTTTGCCTGTTTTCATTCTATCTATTTTCATCTATCATCAAATAGATATTTGAATGAATATCTATTCATTCAAATTATCGTGCCTAATTTTCTCTTCCTTTTGCTAAATGTTTGGAATGTTTGATAAAACAGTACAATGAAATGAAAGCCCAATAGACTTTGGAATTGGGTGTAGATGAGCTTTATTGGCTATATAACTTCGCACAAATTATTCAACCTATCTGTATTTCTTCACCTATTAAATATAGATAATAATACCTTTTATGGTGGTTAACAGGATTTGTGATTTTTTTTTAATTTCTTAGCACAATGCCCAGTACATAGCAGTGCTCAATTAATGGAAATTGCTGCCGTGTATTTTTGTTACTATTATTACCATGCCTATGTCACATAATTCTTGGGAGTACTAAATGCAATAATATTGAGATGAAGCTGTCAGCCTAACTTTACACATAGTAAACACTATCAGCCAGTAGTAGAAAGCAACGTTCATGAAATGAGCAGTAGTTTATTCCACCTAAAAGCTCTTTTGCTGTTCTTTCCCAGGGCACGTAATTAGACCCACAAATTGAACCTGAATTGAAGCAGCTCCAGAAAACTAGTACATATCAACAAGCCAATCACACGTGGTAGTCCCAGAATACAGTAGAAGATGAAAAAAGATTCCCATCAGATGAAAAAAGATTCCCACACCCTGAAAAAGCTGAGAACCTAGCTGAATAAATAAAACATGGAGAATATTGGTTTCCAAAATCAGCTAGATATGGAAGATTGAAGGAGTAGCATTGGGAAGGGACTATGAAGGACAAAGCCAGTATTGTCTCTACATGGGCTGCGCATGTGGGTGGGAGATAACTTCTGACTTTGTTTTTTGTTTTAATGCAACAATTAATTTTCCAGAGCCCCATTGCTTAACACCTTTGTAAAAAATGACTCCATGGGCTTGGCACCTGTAGCTCAGCAGTTAGGGCGCTGGCTATATACACCAGGGCTGTCGGGTTTGAATCTGGCTGGGGTCCGCTAAACAGCAATTGATAACTACAAACAAACAAAACAAACAAACAAAAAAATAGCCAGGCATTGTGGCGGGCGCCTGTATTCCCAGCTACTTGGGAGGCTGAGGCAAGAGAATCACTTAAGCCCAAGAGTTTGAGATTGCTGTGAGCTGTGACGCCACGGCACTCTACCAAGGGCAACCTAGTGAGACTCTGTTTCCAAAAAAAAGACTCCATGATAGGGAGCTAAGTTCTAAGCACCTTCAGTAAATTCCTGCTATTCACTTATAAATATGATTTTGCCCTAGCTTTAGGCAGCCTTCTAGGGCCCATTTTAAAGACCTTTTCTAAAGCAGTGATCCAATGATCATTGCCAGTATGTTTCTTTGCCAAACTTTGGTATTGCTTTCAGAGACTTACATAAAGTTCCCTTGGGATCTGTATTGATAAACAGAAAATTCTATGCCTAAGTGAGGCTGTGCCCAAATTCCCTGTCATGAGTTGTCACTGAACCTCAGCCTGACCTTTGGGACCCTGCAAAACTCCTACCCACTGCCTCACAGACATAGTCTAATGCCTGACTCTGTTTGCCAGGCGACCTTCAAAGGCTGGATGGACATCATGTATGCAGCTGTAGATTCCCGCAAGGTAAGGGGGTACATAGTGAAAACTCAGCCTTCCTAGATGGTCCGAAAGCAAGCCGTATCCCACCAAGAAAGAAGAAAAGAGGGAGGGATGGGAATGGAGGACTTGTAGTTTCTATTTGGAACGTTTATTGCTTGTTTTATTACTTTGTTTATTTTATGTGTTTTGGGGGTTTGTTGGTTTTTGGTTGGTTGGTTGTTTTTTGGAGACAGAGTCCTACTCTGGGTAAAGTGCCCTGTATAGAAAACATGCAAATCATGAGGCAAGAGAGAACTGTTTGCTAGGAGCCACATTTTTTTACTGAAAGCAGGATTGGAAAGGGAGTGACAGCTCAGGCCTGTAATCCTAGCATTCTAGAAGGCCGAAGGGAGAAGATAGCTTGAGCTCAGGAGTTCTAGACCAGCCTGAGCAAGAGCGAGATCTAGGGCTCCCACCTGAAGCCCTGGGAGCTTCATAGCTGACAGCAACCTCAAACTCTTGCACTCAGGTGATCCCTTCCTTTGCCACACAGTGCTAGGATTACAGGTGTGAGCCACGCCCAGCCTTGTTGCTTGTATATTGGTTACAGATCATTCTCCTCCCAGTGAGCCACCACTCTCTTATATTGGCTCCAGAAGGTTAGGCTGTTGATCTCTACTTGACTTTAATAGAGTTGTCCATACTTCAATCTTTTTTTTTTTTTTCTTTTTGAGTCAGAGTCTCACTCCGTTGTCCAGGCTAGAGTGTTGTGGCATCAGCCCAGCTCATAGCAACCTCAAACTCCTGGTCTCAAGCAATCCTTCTGCCTCAGCCTCCTGAGTAGCTGGGACTACAGGTGGCCACCACTACTCCAGGCTAATTTTTCTATTTTTAGTATAAAGAGATGGGATCTCGCTCTTGCTCAGGCTGGTCTAGAACTCCTGAGCTCAAGCTGTCTTTCCCCTTCGGCCTTCTAGAATGCTAGGATTACAGGCCTGAGCTGTCAGTCCCTGTCCAATCCTGCTTTCAGTAAAAAATGTGGCTCCTAGCAAACAGTTCTCTCTTGCCTCATGATTTGCATATTCTCCATACTGGAGTTTTGCCCTCTTAAGGCAGGCCAAGCCAGTGTGGAGAAGGAGGCAAGAAGAAAGAATCTAGGGCTCCCAGCTGAACATGTGCTCAGAGTTATGGCTGATGGCTTTGGCATGTCAAAATCACCCACCTGATCCCCAAACTAGGCACTAACTCCCTTTTTCCCTGTTCTTTGACAGCCTGATGAGCAGCCTAAGTATGAAGATAATATCTACATGTACATCTACTTTGTCATCTTCATCATCTTTGGCTCCTTCTTCACCCTGAACCTGTTCATTGGTGTCATCATTGATAACTTCAATCAACAAAAGAAAAAGATAGGTCTCCTCCCCTCATTGCAGTGGTCAATCCGGAAGTATTTCTGTCCTTATCACTAGAAAGAAAATGCCCCTCTTTCTTTTTTGAAAATCCGTATCATTATGTCATTTTGGCCCAGGCCCCACTGTACATGAGCTTCAACCAGCTTCCTCTGGGGCTTTGCAGCATGTGGTTTACCACATTTACTGGTAATTTTTTATTCCTGAGACCTATTCTAGAGCAGCGGTTCTCATCCTGTGGGTTGGGACCCACAGGAACTGCATTAAAGGGTCATGGCATTAGGAAGGTTGAGAACCACCAAGTTAGATAGAACCTTTAGTAACAAAGGTGAGAGGAAAGAAACAGGTGAAAAGCTATAGCAAGAAGTAGAACCTTTCTAGACTCGTAATTATCCATTTAATATCTGGGCAAATTGGGATTAGAGAGGCTATCATTGGAAAATTTACTTCCTTGTCCCTGGTGATTAACAATTTTTCCAAAACAAATTGAAAAGACTCTTGTTATTTATTTTGTAAGTCAAATCTGTCCCAGCTCTCCAAACTGTTTTCTTGCACCAGAACTTCTAAATTTTGAGTATTGTCTAAAATAAATGGGCCATCACCCCAGACTTGAAGATTCTTTTATTTTAACATACTTTTTCTAGAATTTATTTGGAAAGCAGACCAAGAAAAAAATGTTATACAACTGTGAGAGTCACAGCTCTCTTCCCTGAAGGTCTGTTATTATCCTTCTCCTTTCTGCCTGGTAACTGTCAGATCCTAGAAATCCTGAGGTGAAAACCAGGGCAGCTATCTCTTTGAATTAGAATAAGTATCCCAGACCTGCCCTACTCTGGGATAGCTGTTAGCTGCACTGGCCTCTAGAGAGGAAAGGGGACTCCCTCAGTTCTCAGGTTTGTGGAACCTTGGGTCCAGACCCACAGTATATGAGAGCCAGTTGTAATTGTGTTTTCTTTTTCCCTCCTTTACTTCGGAGGTCAGGACATTTTCATGACTGAAGAACAAAAGAAGTACTACAATGCCATGAAAAAGCTGGGCTCAAAGAAACCACAGAAACCCATTCCCCGTCCTGTGGTAAGTGTGTTGGCTGAGGGCATAGTGAGAACCCATATGGAAAAGCACTGCTAGAGTTACTGCAAAGGAGGGAGAAAGGTAAGTAATCACTGGCTGGTGCCCACCAGCCCTCTCCTAGCCACTCAATTCAAAAAGATGTGTGTGAGATGGCACAGTAGCAGGGGTTAAGGTCTGGGCAGCTTTTCTATGAGTCCTTGATCCATGCTCTGAGCCTTCCTTGGGCAGCAGCCAAGAGTCAGCATGTTGACCACACTGGCTACAGCCATGGGAGAGATGTTTTAAGATAACCAAAAATTAACAAAGGAAAATTATAGTGAAAGTTGCTGACTTCTACCAGTTTGAAATATGATTTGGTTGTTATTTTTTTCAGCTTCTTTACTCCATAATTGTGTTTTTGCAGGATGTGTCTGGAACTGAAATAATGCTTCTGGCTATTTGTGGGAGGAGAAAAGGGCAAAACTAGAAGAGTATGGTGCCCTGATTTCCTCTCTTAAACCAAGCCTTTTGTAAAACAGCTTTGGGGGCTGAGATTCTGCTTTACTGTTATATTGGTGGTTATCCTTTTGTTTCAGAGAATAAGATGCCCGTTTTGAATCCATATACCCAGCTGGGTGGGACATAAACCTTACCCCCCAAAACCAGGCTCAAAGTTCTTCTATAACTTTCATTTGGCAACTTAAAAAAAAAAAAAAACAGCAGAAGCTTTAAAATAAAAGCTTACCAGGCAGTCTAGTCATAGAAAAAAAAGTAGAGCTACTTTGTTTGAATCAACAGTTGGAATTCCAGAGCATTTTCCCCACTCATCCCTCTTCACCTACTCCTGGCATATCCACTTCACCAACTTCTAAGGTAGCGGTTCTCGACCTGTGGGTCACGGCCCACAGGAACTATATTAAAGGGCTGCGACATTAGGAAGATTGAGAACCACTGTTCTAAGGGAAAAGAGACTCGCAGGGTTTAGCAGAACAGTTTGAAACCACCAAGTTAAAGTAATCCTGAAAATGAACATGTGCCTAGACACTTTTAAAGAATAATCAAGGGAGGCCAGGCATGGAGCCATACCTATAATAGGCCAGGCATACCTATAATCCTAGGGCTTTGGGAGGCCAACATAGGGAGATTACTTGAGCCCAGAAATATGAGGCTGCAGTGAGCTATGATTGAGCCACTGCACTCCAGGCTAGTGTGGTAGGAAACACTCATAAAGAGAGATTAACACTGAGTCAGCAAATGTTTATAGATCTCCCACTATGCCCCAGGCACTAGTCATAGTGTGATGAACAAATGGAGCTTATAATACAGTGGAGGAAATAGATAATAAATGAAATGTAGAATATTGTGGGGGGAAACTTAACAGGATTGTGGGATGGATCTGCTTCAATATAGTAGTCAAAGAAAGTTTCACCAAGGGAGGGTCTGCTTGGGATGAGAAGGAGCCAGAAAGCTGAGTGAAGAGCTTCCAGGCAAAGCACAAAGGCCCACATAGCAGGAAATATGAGTGTGGCCAGTGGCATTGAGCCAGGGGAGGGACATGAGCAGAGCAAGGTGAGACTGACAGGTTCACAATAAGGATTGTGTGCAACAACCCCCTCCCCAAACTATTGAAAGGTTGTAAGTTAGGGAAATGACAGGATTCTTTTACATTTTTAATAATCACACTTGCTACTGTATGGAAACTGCATTGTTCAAGGGCAAGAGAGGAAGCAAGGAGAGCAGTTAAGAAACTGAAAAGGCCCAGATAAAAGACAGTGATTAGAGTAGGCCCATAGAAATGAAATGCAGCCGGGCACAGTGGCTCATACCTGTAATCCTAGCACTCTGGGAGGCCCAGGCAGGTGGATCACCTGAGCTCAGGAGTTTGAGACCAGCCTGAGCAAGAGGGAGACCCCGTCTCTAAAAATAGCTGAGGGTTGTGGTGGCCACTTGTAGTCCCAGCTACTCAGGAGGCTGAGGCAAGGGGATCACCTGAGCCCAAGAGTTTGAGGTTGCTGTGAGCTATGTATGACATCATAGCCCTCTACCCAGGGTGACTGTTGTCTCAAAAAAATAATAGCAGTTAAAAAAAAAAAGAAATGGAATGCAGCAAATGAATTCAAGTTATATATTTGGAGAAAGAGTCAAAAGATCTTCAGTGATCAGATGGGGGGACGAGGGAGAAGAGAGAAGGATGACCCTCAGCTTTCTGGTTTGAGAGACTGGATGAATAATTGAGAGAGGAACAAACTGGGTGAGGGGGAACAGTAAGGACTTGGATCTGCCCTGGACTTAAGTTTGAGGTGCTTATACTTATCAGGGAGAAACAGCCAGCAAACAACTCAGGAGGTCAGAGGAACCGTGTGGTCTGGGGATGAAAATCTTGAGATGCTTAAGTACATAGATATCACATAAGAATAGATGGGCTGGAGACGCCATCTTCCAGTAATTCACCAAAATGACAAACACAAAGGGAAAAAGGAGAGGCACCTGATACATGTTCTCTAGGCCTTTTAGAAAACATGGAGTTGTTCCTTTGGCCACATATATGTGAATCTGGAAGAGTCTACAGTGTTACCCAGCATTTTGTTGGCATTGCCGTAAACAAACAAGTTAAGGGCAAGATTCTTGCCAAGAGGATTAATGTTCGTATTGAGCATATTAAGCACTCTAAGACCCGAGAGAGCTTCCTGAAATGTGTGAAGGAAAATGGTCAGAAAAAGAAGGAAGCCAAAGAGAAAGGTACCTGGGTTCAACTGAAGCGCCAGCCTGCTCCACCCAGAGAAGCCCACTTTGTGAGAACCAACAGAAAGGAGCCTGAGCTCCTGGAACCCATTCCCTATGAATTCATGGCATAAAGCATATAACATAGCACACAGGAGTACCAGTGGACCCATGCTTTTAGGTGCAAGAACCCATTTATTCCCCAAGAGCTCATGGCATAATAGGTATACAGCATAGCACACAGGATAACCAAT